CCTCCCAAATAAGTTACCTCATGTTGACCTCACTTTTGTGAGGACCCCTTTCCCTCTCTACAGAAGCCTAAGACTTAGCCTTAGGGTTCCCTGGTGACCTTCCTAGATAACTAGAGATGAGACTCACCCATAAAAGACTTCTACTCAGTCCTACACTCACTTAGTGTTTCCTGAGGTTAAGCCCAAATCCTTAACCCTTGGTTGAGATGCTTAAGGGTCTAGCCCAGTGGAAGCCCAAGTTGACTTCCTATATGTGGAAGTCGCCCTAAGCTACATATGGAACTCGAACCCTATAAATTCTTTTAAGGATCCATTGAATATCCGTAGGATTCTCATTGATCTAGGGAAAACCCACCAAATAAGAAGCTAGGCCTAAGGCAATGAAGAGTTCTTACCAGCTTACCTTGAAGGGCCCTTAAAATCCCATTACACCAAAATTCAAAGGAAAAAGGATGGATTTACCAAAATCAATCCTTAGTCTCACTTAAAGCTCTCCCAACACCAATTAACCCTAAAATTTACATGAGCCCCAAACACATCAATTTGGCCCTAAGTAATTTAAATCACCAAGGTTAACCAAAATCCACGTGGGCCCAAATCAACTTGAGCCTAATTTGGTTCAAGGTGATTAAGACCTAAAACCACTTAAGAATCAAATTTGCACTAAGGAGCCAACCTCCGTAACTCATCTGATTATTTGATTAAGTAAATTATGAAAGCCTGTTAAACCAAAACTTTTGGGCTAAATCATAACAAATTTAGGTTAACCCTAAACCCAAAAACCCAAGACCACATGAAGAAAGCCCATGGCCCATTTCTCATGGCCCATTCTCCATGGATCAACCATGACATAAACATGATCCTAATGACCCACCATGAGACATGAATGACACAAAAAACTAAAGATAAATTAATCTAACCAAAATGCCACCACATGGCACCTAGGCCTAACCCACCCAAACCACTTCATGGGTGGGTCAAAGCAGCCATTGTTGACCCCAATCACCACACCAAAAGTGCTCCCAATCCCCTCACACCTTGTACACACCATCTTCATCACCATTGGAGCCTCCATGGTCAAAACATCAAAAATGGAGAAAGCTTCCATTCCTCTGCCAAAAGCCCCTGGAAATCCTTTGCACATTCTTTATGAAATCACCATAGTTCCCCTAAGCTAGCCATGGCCTCTCCGATGGCCTTCCATGGCCATGTACAACCCTAGCCCGAGAAGCACCTCACCGCACTAAACTCCCTAGCCAGCCATCCAAACCTTCAACTCCCAACAGTAAAAACACTCCTATTGACTAGTGCAACTCATCGTCGCCCACCTCAGGTCATCTTCACCACCACAATGCCTCAATTTAGTCACTGAATTCAAGGAATTTTCACGACCTCGACACCAACCTTATAAGAACTCCAAACTAATCATTATATAAGCTTCACAAGGTTCTAAACCTCTCTCTCAATCAAAACTTAAGCTTCCTGCACCTCTTAACCAACTTCAACACCAATCTGAGCCACCATTTGTTCTAGCTCATTGTTAGGACCAATGTCAAAGCAAATTGAGGCAAGAAAGAGACGTGTAGCATTAAGGTGATTCTCTCTAACAAGCCCAATCGATGCCTCACCTCCCGGGACAAGGTATGAATTCAAAATCTCTAAATTATGCCTCGATTTGGTCTTTTTGTGAAGAAAACGAACAATGCATGTCCACTTAACCATATAAATAGGTTTGTCTCACCTGAATGAAGCTATAAGAACGAACCACATGTGATTTGGTGGATTGTAGAGCAAGATATCACAAACAATTCTTTGTTCTCTATCCTACGGAGGCAATGAACGCATGATGTCCATTCCAGTGTATTCGAAACAAATGATTGAGATAGAATAGAAGCAGAGAAACACGCAGAGCATGACATCGAACCGTGAGTCACATTAGCCTCTGCGTGTAAAGAGCAACCAATCGCGGGACGATGCGTGGGAGTTCAAAGCGTCTGAGGACCGCGTTAGCGCCGTGTGGTTAAATAGTAAAATCTAGATTTTCTTAATTAAATAATTCTAGATATTGCATTCCGGTTTTAAAAGATCATAACTTTGCAAAGAAAAATTATAGAAATAAAATAAAAAAAAAACCATTAAACTAAATGAACAGTAGAGAAAATAATGAAATTAAAAAACCAAAAAAATTAATTTATATGATAATCAGAGCTTAGATGATCTAACTAAGACGATCATGAATTCAGAGCTTAGATGATCATGAATTTACATGTGAAATATTATTGGCTCAAAAACCTTACAAAATTCATGTCTGATAATAAAATTTTTTTGATGACACATCAAATGTTATTCTGATTATCTAATTATGGCCCATTATATGATAAAGTTAGCTAAGAATATAATAATATTTTTTATCAATAAAAACTTTAAGATACTACATTTATTTTGAGACTAATGTAATATAAAATTTGAATAATTTTCTATAAATTTTACTTATCTTAAAATAAATCAAACAATTATATATGCTCTCCATTGAAAAAAAAAAGGTTCCATTTTATGGAAAAAATATTGCATCGAGACTCCGCACGCAGAGTTACGTGCGGAGTCCAATGAAATCACGCCACGTGGAGGTGACAAAAAAAAAAAAATTAGCCTCGGCTCGGTAACATAAGAGAATATTCCCCCGGTGTTATTCCGTGTTATTTAGGTGTTTTGTATGTTATTCAGGTGTTATTGTATTATGAGAATATTTCCGGTGTTATCAATAACACTTGAATAATACACAATAACATTTGAAAAATACACAATAACACCTGAATAACACGGGAGGAATATTCCTCTGTGTTATCAGACATATTTTATTTTATTTTTCTGTCACCACCACGTGGCGTCATTTCATTAATGTAATATTTTCTCCATTTTATGACCTCATAGATAACAATAATGATTCCCTATATTTGCGGGAAAATACTCTTTTATGCGATCTTGAATTATTGATTATATTCATACTTAAAATGTTTTATTTTTCAAATAATTATATAATACATTGTTGGTATAATGGTTAACTTATCTTTTCATAATTATCTAATAAAACAATTATAAACTTTAATTAGTTATCACAAAATTCATTTTATTAAACATAAATATCAATATAATCTTTAAATTAAGAATTTTTTAAATTATTATTTTACCCATTCAAAATTTAATTTCAATAAATTTATAGTCAAATTAAATGCTTCAATAAGATAAACCAACCTATATGAAAAGCATATTATCATCTCACTTATAGGGCTGTCAAAACGGCTCATTGTTCGCGAACAGCTCGTGTTCGACTCGTTAATTTCGTTCGATAAGTTAACTAGCCGAACACAAACTAAGATGTGTTTGTTCGTATTCGGCTCGTTTTGGCTCGAAATACTACTCATCAAGTTTATATATAAAGTATTATTTTAAAAAAATCTAATTGACTACAAGGCTACAAAGATTTATAATTAATTAAAATATTGATTAAGAAAATAGAATAAAAATTATTAAATTAGATTCAAATGATGTTTTAATATAAATAATAATTTTTAAATCTTGCTCAAATTCTTATTGTCTTATGGCTACATGATTAGGGTTGTTAAAAGAACTCTTTCTTGTGAACAGCTCGTGGTTCGGCTCGTTAAGCAAACGAGTCAAACACGAACACACTTTTTGAGCTCGAAATATAAACGAGCCTCTACTCACTTATAGATATAAAATTTAATTATGAATTTGAATGTATGCAATTTATAGCATTTGTGTTTGTTTAGCACTAAATGAATCCATAAAAAAACGAAAATTTACATACGTAACACCCAATTCTTATGCATTGTCGCATCTCACAAAAAAAAAAAATTTTAAATTAAATTAAATTAAATTTTTATAAACACAACACCTTTCCTATATATGAAAATGTGAATTTCACTATTAGAAAACGTGATGAGAGATAAATTGGAGGTTGTGTTTGTAAAAATAAAAATTTCAGCATGAAAAACATAAATTGATAAGAATTTAGGGCCATGTATGTAAATAACATCTCCCCATCCAAAAAATAATAATACTAGGCCGTCAAAACAGCTTGTGTTCGGCTCGTTCGCTAAGTTAATGAGCCGAACACGAACTACACGAACAAATATTTGTCGTTCGTGTTCGGCTCATTTTGGCTCGAAATATTACTAATCAATTATATATATATCTTTGATGAGTAGTATCTTAAAAAAAATTAATTGACTATAAGGCTATAAAGATTTATAATCAATTAAAAGTATTAATTAAGAAAATAAAATAAAAATTATTATATTAGATTCAAGTGATGTTTTAAATCTTATCTCAATCCTTAACATCTTATGACTACGCCATTAGGGTTGTCAAAATGACTTTGTTGGTTAAAGGCTCGTGTTCGGCTCGCTAAGCAAACGAGCCGAACACGAACA